AAAAAAACTGTGTAACTGGTGGTAAATGAATGATTACCTGAGCAAAGTAGTGTCAAAATGAGCAAGGAAGGTTGTCGAGTTAAATACTTTCCCTGAAGTAATATCCATAGATATCCAGCCACTCTTGCAGACTGCCTTCATCTATATTCAATTATTTTAATATATATATTATTTACACATATTAATATGTCCCCTAGCCACTAGTAGCCACTAGTTCACTGTGCCCGCTAGGGTATTGGAACAGACAGATAGCACACAGGCATTGCTTATATCTTAGGAACTTCAATTCGTACAAAATCCACTGGGCAACTTCCTGACATCTGAGTCACATATCTCATTATGTGCTTTTCTTCTTTATTTTCTTACAGCAAATCATTTTGGGATTTTTATTTTGAGATAAAGATGCATATAAAATAAATATTTATTAGTGGTGAATTAAAGCAAATTAAAATGAATTAAAAACGTCTCATACTGGCACTTGGGACTAGACTGGGGATTCAGTCTTATTTTATTTTTCAACTGACATAAAAAAATGAAGTAGGAAGAAACATAACAAAGTGAGGAGGGAGGCGAGAGAAATTCAGACTTCAGGCACAGCAACCATAAAGACTAAAGGGATTTTTTTTTTCTAAGATCAGGAAAAGAATGAAGTGTTAACTTTTTCAAGTTCCTTAATCACGAAACCATCACTTACAATATTTTATCCAGACACAAACACTCACAACAGGGCAAATTGACTCAGAAACAATGTACCTCCCAACATGGAGGATCATGTTTGCTCCCTTGAGTTGTTATTAGGATATATATCATGAACATTTTTGAAAAAAGTTAAAAGTTCGAAGTTTGGTAAAATTTAGGTTCTCATTAGTTTAGCGTGTGTTCATCATAATTTAATGAACTTCTCATTATATTGTTGATACATCAGCCCTGGGAGAACTTCTTCAAACAGCATCTTTGTTCTACCGGGAGCTCCGATTTCCTCCCACAGTCCAAAAAGATATACTGGTGGCTTCTAGGTAAATTTGCCCTGGTGTG